TCACTAAAGTCCACGTGTCAGCCTTTGAACGTAGGGAAACATTGTTATTGTATACCATAGCTCACCTTCTCGCGAACACTCGATATCATCGCTATTTGATAGTGATTCCTAAACACATGCTCACGATATAGTCGGAATCGTACAACCGGCTCTGCTTTTAGGAGAGATTTCTTATGAATATGGAAAGGGGTTTGTTACTTTTGTATAAATATGACATGCTTAACAATGGATTAAGCCCCAGCTAATTGACTGTCTTAGCATGTATGTATGTTAATGAAACCATGTCACATTTCACTTTATGATCAGTTAACAAGAGTGAGTGAGTGAGTGAGTTTGATTTTACGCCGCTTTTAGCATTATTCCAGCAATATCACGGCGGGGGACACCAGAAATGGGCTTCACACATTGTACCCATGTCGGGAATCGAACGCGGGTCTTCGGCGTGACGAGCGAACGCTTTAACCACTAGGCTACCCGAGCGCCCCCCAGTTTACAAGAACAAACAATTAAAAAAAACACAACATATTTTAATACATACTCTCTAGCTCTAGTTCTAATATTTCTTAAAGTTCAAAACCCTGTCCTTCCATACACGGGCCTCATCGAGTTTGCAATCAATGACGAAGTGCCATTCAGTATACGGGTTCGAATCCCAGAATCGAGAGTCAATCCATGGTTTGCAAAAAGAAGACAACGATTATTATATTTCGCGGAGGAATAAACCCAGGAAGGGCAAGGGGCATAATGGAACCACCAACCCATCAGTATGCGAATATATCACTCCCAACAACAATTGATGACGTCATGAGGGATTTAAACCTTTAATGAAAACTTCTTGCTGGTGTCATCACTAATTTTTAATGATCCACTCATATCAACAAATTTTCGTTACAATTTTGCCTTTTACGCCCAATGGAATCTGTTTCGACAGATAATTGAGGCTGTCACAATGGAGCGTTGGACATATAATTTAAAAATAACGTCAAGCAACAATTGCTTTTGAGTTTTGTACCCGCAGTGTTTTTATCTTTATTCGCAAATCTTTCAGATTTTAGAAATATTTTGTTTTTCTAAAATGTTTTCTCATAGTTGTACATTTTTTCCGAACCAGGGCTTTTTGCACGGTTGTCCAGTTTGCTACCTCTCAAGCGTGTGTTGCTATCTTTAACTCTGAAAGTAGAGCATGCAGCGTATAAAAGTACATGGTTTGCTACAATATAGATCGAGGCGGATGCACCACCCTGATCTTGCTTAATTGTTTCTGAAAACCTGATTATATTTAAACTCGTCTTTAATCAATGGCATGGTGGAATACATCTACATCACCGGACATACGTTGCGAGAATTTGATCATCAATTTCATGTTGAGAACAAGGGGTATCTCGCATATATCATCACTGCCACCATGTATCTGTTACCAAAATGAATTATTATTATTTAACTCTATCAGCTTATATCAGTATTTTGCGTCCAACGAATAATGGAGCATCACAAATTTAAAGGTACTGACTTGATGGCTATGAATACTAAGTAGGTTTAATTGTTCCTTTGAAAACAAATAAACTCTAAAATCAGCTGTTGATGACTGCGTGAAGTCTGCAGATACATCGATGTTCCTGTAGGTGTGGGATGGACTATTTTAATCGCCTTTTTCCAGAATAGAGCACTGCATACCTATACAAACCATGTTCCCCACGGGTCTCTGCACAAAGTAACGACCAGTCATGTTAATGAATATGAATGCAATTTGAAACAATTTCGCCTGTCCAGTGACAATCAAATATTCTTCAAAGTTAACATGAAGTTAGTTTTTATATAAACTGCCGGACAAAAGAAAGTATACAAACGAATGTTACAAGCTGAAAACTGGTCTACGAAACACTGCAAACTTAAGGTCCAAACACTTGACCATCGAATTAATTATTTATTAAGTGTTTAATTTTCTTTCAAGTTACGTCACATTTTCCATGATGCAAAAGGTCCAGCAGGAATGCCTTCTTGGAAACAATTTTCTCTTGGACACTGTCACTCTTTAGCATACTTTAAGCCATACGCACACCTGGTGTATGGCAGTACGGCGAAGTGTCACATGTGTGAATGGTGATTTTACCGACTTCATATATCTCTCATTTGAATGCCATCGCTCGTGCATTGCGTAAATTGTCTCTTCAATATATCACTAAATTACACTCCGACCCTTATAATCCTGCATATGACTCCGTTTTTCATCCCCTATATGAAGAAGTGTTTCAGAGAAAACCAAAGCTGGTTCCCCCGCTGGGAATTCCGATTAAATCACATGTTATTGCTGCTGATATAGATTTAGATCTCATCTCTCCTTACCGCCTTTTGTCTTCTCCTCCCTGGAGGTTGGTGAGGACAGAAGTAGACATTTCCCTCACACGTTTTATAACATCTGAGACTAATCCACCCATATATCAACAAGAATATTTACAGTTAAGTCACCGTTCAATCTTTACTGATAGATCCAAGGATGGTGGAAAAGTAGCATCTGCAACCGTCATTGGATCAAAACATTTATCCTCTAGAATACCAGACAACAGCTCTATATTCACTGCTGAGGTCAAATCTATCCTCACAGCCTTGGTATACATTCAAAAACAGTCTGTATGTCTGTCTGTCGTATTTGCCATTCAAGATATACACACGAGTATTTATTAAAAGCTGAGGATCCTCCGAGAATCACAGTCAAGCACGTTCTGCTTGACTGTATTGATTTTGCCATTACAAGTGATCAATATTTCAAAGTTTCATCCATAAAGGATATTTTTAATCTCAGTTCTCATTTAACAATAAGTTTTAAAGAAGTAGAATTAATTGATAAATGTTGATGTATATAGTTGCTTTTTATGAAATGGTAGTGTTTAATTATTAACCTAGATTGTTTGAGGCTGTGCCCTCGAAGGAGGTTGAAGTACCGTAAAATTGTCCTCCTGAGAGGGTACAATAAGACCAAATCATTCAGTTTGTAATTCCTACCGTAATTTTTAATCGTAGAATAATTTAATTAGTGGCTAAAAATGACTACAATCACCAGCAGCTGAAGCGATGGTTTAAACCCTGCTGGGGAACCGTGAAGAAAGTCCCCATGGTCCCAAGTATATATATTATATTGTATTGTTGAGAATAATCACATTTTTATGGAAACATGCTAGTTTTTAACCTATATCTGTGATAGTCTAGTGATTTTACTGTCCTTTGTCGACAGATTTTATAGTCTATATTGATATATTATTCTTGTACAGCTTGATTTAGGCACGATTTGGTTGAAATACTGCCGACGTGACTATAAATCTTAACTCACTCACTCACTAATTAGCTTTAATGTCAGTTATATAATGTATGCTATTCTCCTGTCATTTTCAATACATTGTATTTTGTATGTGTATCATGTTTGGGAGAGACATTCAAATGAGCAAAATCTTCTTGTTTGCCAATACCTCCACTTTATGGAAATAAATATGTTTTATATCATAACCAATGTCATCATTTATGTCAGTCTTTAGATTAATGTAATCGTGTAATATGAGCATAAACTGTACAAGCATTATTATTCACTGACGGTTTGGTCTTGTATGAATCACACAAGAATTTGTTGATAGGAATTTATTCCTGAATACCAAAATTGGTATTTGTGAATCGAGTAAATTTGGTCTGCATCAAGAATAAGTATCACTTGTTGCAGTTGGGTTTATTTAAGTACATTCACGGTTCGTGAATAAAGACGCGTTTTATGTCACATTAAGAATTGGGGACATTACATTAATGATAAATGTGGGGCGGTCGGGTAGCCTTGTAGTTAAAGCGTTCGCTCGTCACGCCGAAGACCCGGGTTCGATGCCCGACATGGGTATAATGTGTGAAGCCCATTTCTGGCGTTTCCCGCCGTGATATTGCTGGAATATTGCTAAAAGCGGCGTAAAACCATATTCACTCACTCACTCACTAATGATATATGTTGGATGGCGTAGTATTGCTCGTTGTAATCAACTCTGTAAATTGTCTACGCTGGAAATAATTGAAGAAGGGAACCATATTTTTTGGAACGCCCATATTTCACTGCTTCAAGAAATACTGAAGTTTTAATGGAATGCCCCTTACTTGGGTAAGTTCAAAATGTTAATATCTTGTAACGGGAAGAATATTTTAATGAATGTTCCTATTAAGTAATTTGCAATGTGGCCCGTGAAGATCCGTGTTGAAATTGGTCTTCAATAACCCAAGCTTGTCGAAAGAGGCGACTAACGGACTGGCTGACTTGGTTGACACATATCATGGTATCCAAATTGTGTAGTTCGATGCTCATGGTGTCAATCACTGGATTGACTGGTCGTGACTCGATTATTTACAGACCGCCGTCATATGGCTGGAATAATGTTGAGTGCGGCGTTAAACAACAAGCGCCAATGTCCATGTGTAAAATTACTGTACCTGTTTGTCACTGTAAAATGAATCCTACTGAGTGCGGGGGCTATGGCCTTTATACCGAATTAGAATAAAAATGGGCCCAGATGGAAAAAAGATACTACGAGCGAACAAAATATTTATATTTTGTTTAAATCCCAGCTCACCCAGCCCACCAAGCACAAGTCATCGGGTAGAGATTAGGATTAGTCCGAGATCATAATCGTCTATATTCAAACCCATATAACCAGACGCAGCTTAGGGACTCTGCAAAGGGACCTCCAGCATTTTAAAATTCATTTAATTTCAACATAATTTGTAGAAATGTTTTACGTAATGGTTCAGGCACTGTTCAAAAGATACGTTTGACAATCAGCGATGTACACTGGCAAAAACGTAATGAATACCTCCTTTCATTAAAATCCAACATTTTAAACACTACACCTCGCCCATTACTCGCGCTGTGTACCACTATGTCACTTTGACATGCGACAACAACCAATCACTATCCAACCATAGGCCGGGAAATGTAGTGGATTTCCCAGTATGCTAAAATTAGATAGTCGTTTTCGATCGACAGTCGTGAAAGGCCAAGGGCCGAGGCACATACCCCTGCTTGTGACCAGACCTTTTTGGACCGCAGCTCACCTTCTAAACACCCTGCCATTATGGCAGAAGCGGCATTGGAGGTCCCTGTACGTAGTGCCAGTGTAAACAACACAGCCTTTCTGGTGGAGAGTGTTGATATATATCGGGAAATGATCATAAGGAAGGTTCGATGTGGTTCATTCATCGGACATATGTGTTTTCCTGCAAGTAAGTGCCTTCAGGTGCAGCCATTTGATTTTCAGTAGGAGGTGTGTGAAATAATAATAAAGACCCTATTTTAATGCTGATCTAAAACCAAAATCCCGCCCGCCCCTCCTGAAATCAAATGGTTGCTCCCCTTTTGGTCTAACAATGTACGTATTGTTCTCGCCGACGTGGCAAGATGCGAATTCGTTTACTATTTGACACCCACTGATCGCTAATACATAGCTTTACGATACACGCCTTCATAAAGTTGTACCATAGTTTGGAGAAAAAGGGTATAAGATGTCAACAATATCTCTTAATTGACACTCTGACGGAGCTACTCAAGGCCGGTGCATAGCCAGGATAGGACTTTTGTAGGTTGTTTATGAACGCGTGACTCGTAGCTATCGATCTACGACATTGCTGGATCTGACAGTTGACAACTTTGGCAACGTTGGGCCTAATTTCGGTTTCGTTTCATAGAAATGCAGTTCGTTTTCAATGTCAGCAAGCAGCTAATCGATTCGGGTTCTTACTGTGCATGTAAGGCCTAAGGCTTGAACAAACACTTGTTAGTGTTCAAACCCCTTTGTCATCCCATAAAGGTCCAAGTGAGCCTATGGCTGTTGCTGTCAGACGTAGGCCTCCCATCTAAATTGCAACATTATAAGTTCTAGCAGGATTACTAGGGGTACATGGGGTTTCATGCGTCCCGCGTTAGGTTCTTTACCACGAGCCTCCTCCGGATCGTGGTATAAAACCCAACGCGGGACGCATAAAACCCCATGTACCCCGAGTAATCCTGCTACAACGAATTTCATTTTACCGACACGTTTAAATGTGACATTGTAAAAGAATTAACACGAATTCAAAATTGATAGGAAACAGCTGTTAGATTTAGCTGAAGTTAACTTGTGCTGTGTCACGTGACGTCCACTGATTCTGAAAAAAGCGGCTTTTTGCTTTGAAGCGGGGTATAAGGGATTTATTCTGAATCTGAGAAATCAACGTTAAGCCTGTATTGCTCGTGGCGGGGTATAAGAGATTTAATTCCCCGGTGAGAAATGTATAACCCTCCAAGGCGTGTTACACAGTATTTTATCAAGATCACATGGACCAATCAGATATCATCACTCTAACATGGAGGTATGATAAAAGAGTTTATTCATTGTTGATGGTATCGTGGCCCAGAGTACACGATAGTTCAAATAATATGGCCACATCGACATATCATTGTTTCGTATCAATTAAACCAAAAATCGATAGGTATGTAGAATAATATATAGTCGTTATATTTTGATTTCGTAAACCCCCAAACCCCCATTCCCAACTGTAATGAATACAAGTAATGACGCTCATTACACGTTTTTTTTTGCTTTTGGAAGCACAGACATTCAGAGGGAATGGAAGAAATGGGCACCAACGCAGCAGTTCACAAATTAGTTGTTATGTTATTTTCTCGGACACGAAATAATGAACACAAACAGTATTCCAAAGTAAAATTTCTTTGAAAACGTTTCACGGCAGCTTTGATGTCATCGTAGTCGTCATAGCGCTTTCCACGGAGATCTTCTTTCAGTTTAGGAAATTATTTGGTGCCAGGCCTGGCGAGTACGAAGGGTGAAGAAGCTCCTCGTACCAACATTGTCGCACAACAGCCTTTGCAAGTCGAGAGGTGTGAGAAGAGGCATTATCACGAAAAAGTAGCGGCAGTCAGCATTCCTCGCCGCTTTTCCTTGATAGAATCTCTCAGGCGATGGAGCAAATCAGCATTGTAGGCATCTGAGTGAGTGAGTTGGGTTTAACGCCGCTTTTAACAGTATTCCAGTTATATCACGGTGTGTCAGCTTAATGTGGGAGGAAAGCCCAAAGTGATGCAGGTCTCAGACGTTTACCACTTCGGTGAAACCCACGTATGTTGCTGACAAACCTAGAAACATAATCGGGGCGAACCAGGATTCGAACCCACAATCAAAGGGTGCCACCTAATCGTCTTCAGACTTTCTAAGTAATCACCAAGGATCACACCCTTTGCATCACAGAATACAGTGGCCATAACCTTCTTCACTGAACTTGAAGACATGCCATTCCATGGATCGACGTTTTGACTCGAGATCATAGTGGTAGACCCATTTTTCATCATCCGTTACAAGTCTCTTTTTGAATTTGACGAAATCTTTCTTAATTAGCACTAAACTCTATCTGGCAATGTCAGTTCTTTTTTTCATTAAGATCAGAATTTAGAAACTTTGTCACCCAACGAGCAGTATCTTATTCATCTGTAAATGTTCACGAATAACTGTTTCAGTGGCTTAGACCTGTGTCTTCCTCAAGTTTCAGCAATGGTAATACGTCTATCTGAAAATAGGAGTTTTTTCTATCTACCTGATTGAATCTTCATCGATGGACGTTGAGGGACGTCCAGACCTAGGGTCATCATCAAGGCTTGTTCTCCCAGCCTTAAACATAGCTGCCCAACGATTGAAAGTGGAATAGCTAAGGCACTCATCCCCATACAAAAACTTTGACTGCTTGGTTCTCGTTCTTTTCCATTTCTGTGTCCATTTGGACCCCTATCGCGTTCAACTGGCTGTCACAAAAATATACAAACGGCCTCAACAGACCAAATACACTTGAAGTACTCAAACAATGTACTACATGACTAGTTCACTTAATTATGGCCCATGGTTGTAAGGTGGTCAGGCTTAGGACGTTTTTGCCTGCCATTGTAAATCCATGCAAAATTGAAAAATAGGATTCCGACTCAATGTGTAACTAAGCTAGTACAATTGCAACAAACTTGATAGGTTCTAATTAGCTTTTTTTATTCAGGTGTACAACCGACGTGTTTTCTGATAAACAAGTGACTTGCCTTTGCGTGTTTTTGTGACGGGATCCCGTTGGAGCAGGAAACGCTCACCTGTTCGCGAACCCCAAGGGATCATCTCTGTGTGATATTGATTCATGTACACATGTTTATGATATAGTCATAATTGTACGATGCATTGGCAGATATGTCTTATAATTATGGAAAGGCTTTTGTCGCTTTTATTTAGCTTTTCTTTAATAAATCGTCTATTGATGACTAATGACTCACCACAGGTTTTCAGAAGACAATCCGAGACATACTGGAAAATGAAAATCAGGATCAACAGATGAAAGCTACGACAATATTCCTGGACTACCTCAAGGAACGGAGAGATCCCCGGGACTATGTGCTGTTCATGCAACTGCTGGAACAGAATGGTAGGAACCCGTCCACATTTAAATGTTTTTAATGCATTTCTGTTTATCATTAGTCGAGTAGTAATTCTACAATGACACTGACGAATGCTTGATTCTGATTGGTCAAAATACCATTAGATACCGCAAAATAAACAACCCTTTAAACAGGAATACTTGCGCGTGAATGCATTGACATATCGATAGTCTACATATCGATGCATATTTGTATTTGCCGATTAGAACTGTCTACGTTCGATATTAGAACATTATCAGACTGCACAAGAACTTGGTCACAACAGCTTGAACATGATCAAATCTAGTTTAGAACACAATTGTGGATATAAGTATATATTCTTACTCAAAACATGTGGATTCATCATATTAGATTGGGTTTCAATAAAATATAAATTTTCATATATTTCGCCGAATTTTACATAACTAAAGAAGACAAGCATATTTGATACTTATGATTTCAGGTTATGATGCTTTAGCAGAATTCCTGAAGGGGGAAACGGATCTTCATAAAGACGGAGAACACATGAGACTGATGAAATTCTTTGTTGAGGACATCAGTAATAGAATTGATGTAGAAGCTCTCTATCCATGTCTCGTTCAGGGCAACTGGTTGGGTAGGTTCTCATCACTTCCGAAGACCGCTTCTAGTGATGACTAATTATCTTCGCTTTTCACTTTTTAGGAACAAGTTGCAATAGGTTGAAAGATACACTTATATCTTAATCAATTGACAACGTAAAATGTTTTTTTATTGCAAGTTCGCATTTACAATGGTTAATTCCTTGTTCTTCATTTCCAAAATATGCACGTGTTGAAAATATGTGAACACAACTGATGGAGGGTATGCCAACGTATCACATCATCAAAGTCGTGTGGGTCAAAATGAGTCCTTACTATGTCCTTTATTGTACCAGATAAAGAAGACGGACAGCGCCTGAGAAACATAGCGACAACAACAGGCAGGATCCCTGCTGCCAGGTGGCTGGTTCTGATGATTCTTCCTCGCCGGAAGAAGAACTGGCTCAAGCAATTTCTGCAGCTTCTTCGGGATAATGGTTTTGACGAACTGGTTGAATGGATCGAAGGAGATGTCAGTGAGTGGATGCTACTTCTGCATAGAACGTGCTAGTGGTCACTTAACCACTTCATGTCAGTGGAGACAGCAGGAACCATAATGTATAGCTCCAAATCCTTAAAGGATAATGAATTCAAACCATTCCTTTTTGTATTCAGGTACTTGTCGTAAGCATATAAGAATGTGTCTTGAATGTTGTTATCTATATAACTTCGTACCAGGTTATCCAGGTTCCGCTGACGGTTGCGATTCATCTGAATACGAAACAAGAAGTGATGACACAGTGTCAATGAATAACTTGTCAGGTTTGTAACAACATAAATGATATCATGTTTATTAATTCTGACCAAATCTCCAAATGTTTACACTCATCATCATTTATATGATCTCCTTAAATTCGGATTTTTTTAATTTTCGGGTCATAATAGTTCCTCGGTGCCCATGGTTGCAATACAAACGACTAGAATGAGAATCAGATGGTCTTAATATATAACATGGCTACATGTGTGTCAACGTACGTAATGAAATTAACATTCACTCACTTTTCTCAATCGAGAAACATCACCAACCATCAGCATAGTTTTATTATTACAAGGATACACTAGAACGTCGTATCTTAATGCCTGATAATTGTAAACAAATTGTATACAGTTTTTTTTCATTTAACAGGTCCATGTCATGTGCAATGTCATCTTCTAAAACAGTGGAAACATATGTTTATTTTTAACTGGTGCTTTTTATTTTACACTTCCCTCAGTTAAATCTTAAAGCTTACTGTATTTTAAACAGCCCGCAAATACATACTTGATTTACACTGTGCTTTACCGATGTGTGTTTGTTAAGCTTCAGGTGCCGCTTACAGCTTGAAAAATAATTTGGATCTAATCCCAGATGAAGATGAAACAAAACGTCCATTTACATATCTTGAAAAGACAGGGCCTAGACGTGGTGACGTTTTAGGACTGCCTCTTAAGGACCTACGCATGGTTGACAAGTGGGTGGAGAAGACTTTAGACATTCCAAGAGGTATGTGTTATGATGCCATCAGACCGCCTGCCCGGAGAGGGGAGGGTCGTGGGTTCGATCCCCGGCCGCGTCATACGAAAAAAACGTTAAATGCATGGCGCTCAGTATTAAGGGGCTGAAACAAGGACTAATCGGCTCGGAGTCAGTTCACTGTGTCTGAGTGGGGTATTCATGTTAAACCGTGGCATGGTATCTCAGTGGGCTAGCACAATAAATTTGCCGTTAGTCCAGAGTAGTACAAACACACACAAACGGTTTTACAAGTGCAATAATATTGAACACAACGTTAAACCCCATTTCACCTCAACTTACCTGTGATGTCATCTCAGGAATAATAGATATGAAACGTATCCGTGTTGATTGTGGCATGAGAAATTCATCCCTGCTCTGGTCAAAAATAAATTTCAAAAATATCAAAAGCAGCAAGAAAAGAAACCTATAAATTTTAATTCAGATAATGGGGAGGATTACAATGAAATCTTTTCCATTCATGAACTCAATACTGCCCTTGGGCAAGCTCATGACATTGCTGCAGGGTCTGATAATATGCATTATCAACTCTTAAAACATTTACCGCAATCCTGTTTAGAAACCCTCTTGATGATATTTGATAAAATATGGACGTCAGGAGAATTTCCTTCTTCATGGCGTGAAGCTATCATTGTTCCCGTACCTAAACCTGGACGTGATCATACTGATCTTTCCAATTATCGACCAATTTCATTGACTAGTTGCGTTTGCAAAACCATGGAACGCATGGTCAGTAACAGATAAACCTGGTACTTAGAATCCAATAACTTAATCACAAATATCCAATGTGGATTCCGTAAAAATCGCAGTACCATTGACCACTTAGTTCGACTGGAGTCATTCGTTAAGAATGCCATTGTAAATAAGCAACATGCAGTGTCTATCTTTTTCGATCTAGAAAAAGCATATGACACTACATGGAAGCACGGAATTTTAAAAGATTTACATGACTTTGGATTGCGAGGCCGTTTGCCTCAATTTATATCCAAGTTTTTAACTGACAGGCAATTTCAAGTCCGCGTGGGTTCAACCCTGTCTGATCATTATAATCAGGATCAGGGTGTCCCACAAGGCAGTATTTTGTCTGTCACTTTGTTTAGCATCAAAATCAACAGTTTAGCAAAGGTTTTAAACGATTCAATTGATGGATCGTTGTTTGTGGATGACTTTAATGTTTCTTGCCGTTGTAGGAACATGCATACAATTGAGAGGCAAATGCAATTGTGTTTAAATAAAATCCAAAAATGGTGTTTAGAAAATGGCTTTAAATTTTCCAAATCTAAAACTAACTGTATTCATTTTTGCAGAAAATATAAACCTCACAAAGACCCAGAACTAATATTAGATAACTCCCCCATTAAAGTTGTAAAAGAAGCGAAATTTTTGGGTATAATTTTTGATCATCATTTAACCTTTTTACCACATATATAAAATACTTAAAGAATAAATGTCTGAAAGCCCTAGACTTGTTAAAAGTTGTCTCTAATACCAAGTGGGGAGGGGATCAGAAAACCCTACTCCAACTATACAGAGCTCTTATACGCTCTAAACTTGATTAAGGCTCCATCATCTATGGTGGGGCTTGTAAGAGCAATTTAAGATTATTAGACACTATTCATCACCAAGGCCTGAGGCTTTGTCTTGGAGCCTTCCGAACTTCACCTATTCACAGTTTGTATGTGGAGGCTGATGAGCCATCCCTTAAACACCGACGCATTAAATTATCTTTACAGTATATCTCTAAATAACGTTCTACTAAATCTAATCCAGCGTATGACTGGGGATTTAATCCACTTTACGAAAATCTCTGTAATAAAAAATCTTCTCTTATTCCACCACTTGGAATAAGATTACAATCTGATATTTCTGCTGCGCAAATCAATCTGGGAAACATTGCCCAAACTCAGCTTTTCTCTTCTCCACCATGGCAGTTAGTGAAGCCAGAGGTGGACTTAACATTATCTCATCTCATGAAATCCGACACGAATCAACTAATTTATCAACAGCAATATAATGAATTACGAGGCACATATGATACTTATAAATCTATATTTACAGATGGATCCAAGGATGGTGACGCTGTTGCCAGCGCCACCGTCATTGGATCCAGGACTATCTATTCCCGGTTACCAGATAACTGTTCTATTTTCACAGCAGAAGCAAATGCTATTCTAACAGCACTAAATTATATCAACAATCAAACTAAACATAAAGAATTCATCATTTTTTCAGACTCTCTTTCTTGCCTTCAGGCTATAAAAAACATGTCTTCCACACATCCAATTTTAAAAGAAATTATTGAATTGTTTAATCATCTTGCTACTGGCCAATACGACATCGTTTTCTGTTGGTTGCCCAGCCATGTCGGAATCACTGAGAACACAATGGCCAATGCTGCTGCGAAGGCAGCACTCAACAAATCTGTGACGCCACTTCTTGTCTCTTATAGCGATATCAAATCTGTAATTAGATGTTACATACGAGACTTGATGCAAAAGAAGTGGGACACCCAGGTAGGTATAAATAAATTACATGACATTAAGCCAAAAATCGGTTACACCTACTTGGGTTGTCAGTCCAGAATTGAAGAGGTCGTATTAAGACGATGTCGTATTGGCCATTCTCGTTACACAAATGATAATTTGTTTTGTATAAAAATAAATGATATTTTACCATAAGTAGAATACATTGATATCTATGAATGTTTGTGGCTGTATCCTCGAAGGTGGTTAACGTAGTGTAATATTATTGTCCCCCTGAGAGGGTATCGTAAGTCCAAAATATTCAAAGTATGTTATTCCTACTATAGTTTTAATCGTAGCATATGTGTTCTTTTAATTTGGCTAAATTTCCCAATAATCGCCAACAGCTGAAGGGCTGATGTAAATCCGGCTGGGGTCCATGCAGGTAGCAAAAGTACTGTAAGTCCCCATGGACCCCAGTATGGTGATCTTCCTTCAGTTGTTGGAGATCAATAGCCTGATTTTATAATGTATTGTTATGTATCGTAGTATCCATTTTATGATTCAATACTAGTTTTAAATATTTCTCTGTGATATGTCTAGTAGTTTTACTGCCCGTCGTTGGCAGGTTTTTATACGTTTCAAAGTATTTATAATCTTTAATCTTGATAGTCACGATATGGCTGAAATATTGCCGATGTGACTTAAAACTTAACTCACTCACTCACTCACTGGTAAAAAATATGATTATTTGTGACATTTTACTTAGATATAAAATTTGGTTTATTTCTTAATGTAATGACTAGGTGTTGATACATGTTCTTTCAGACATTGACGATGTGAGTTTGGTATCAAGTATTGAGGAAAACGCACTACAAGACCTTAATGATCATGACTTTGTTTCACATGAACTAATGGAGACACGAGCTAACGTCTTCAAACCTCTCGAAAACCGACCATACCAAGACGAGTTGGTCAATGCGGTCGCTGACGGGAGCAATGCCATCATTATAGCGCCTACAGGATGCGGAAAGACAGTGGTGGCTCTCAGAATCATGCAGGTAGTTACACAATGAAAGCAAATATTTTACAATTTTAAGTTATCTGTACACAATGATGTGCGCAGACTCGCGTGGAAGAATGGTCGAATATCATTATAATATTCAGTCGTTACTGAGGTGGCGGCGTATACATATGATGAAAGGTCACCATATAGACAATACAGTGCGCTCATGATTGGTAATCTGAAAATGATAACCGTATTCTCTCTGAACAGGAGCACCTTCAGAAGATGCAAGGTCGCGGGAAAGTTGCTTTTTTTGCCAATGAGGTGACACTGGTAGACCAACAGCATGACATGTGTAAGGGACACATTGAAGAGTCAGTCAAGACAGGGATGATTGTTGGAGAGACGAAGGATAAGAGCAAAATACCCCTTGGGGATTTAATCAGACAGTGAGTGCAGACAGAGTTTTATCGCAGTTTGTAAACACTAGACCTATACCAGTAGGTCTTTGAAGATCAGTGTCATCATTTCTATTGACGATAGCAGTACTGGTTGTCATGGAAGTATCTAAAAGAGTGAGTGGAATTCGTAAAGGGAAATACAAAACCAGGAACATGCATCTCAGGAATAAAAAAAACCGTGATTTAATTTAGAGAGAAAAGGCTGGATCTTCTTAATGTACCAATATTATATGTGGCGGAACCCTGCTTAATCAAGCTGAAAATTCAAACCAATATGGAGATGTGTGCTTAATTTGCATTATCTGTATCTTTATGGTCCATTATCCTGAAAGACACAAATTGTATATACCACACAAACCATCAAAGTGTAGATCACAGTGCTTATCGATCAGCCTCAACCCGTGCTCGTTGGTTAAGCAAAAGGGTATTACTAAACGTCTGCCTCACTTTGAGCTCTCCTCCAAAATCCCCACATAGGTACAATGTGAGAAGTTGTTATATTGCTGGAATATTGCTAAAAAAGCGGCGTAAACCATACTCACTCACTCACTCCACAAAATCAAGCTGACACGCCGTGATATAACTGAAAGATTTGTAGTGTTAAGTCAATTTATTATCAATCTATATCAGTTTATGATACAAACTATGCCAGCAATATCACAGTGGGAGACACCAGAAATGGGCTTCACACATTGTACCCGCCTCGGGAATCAAACCCTGGTCTTATGCGTGACGAGCGAACGCTTTAACCACTAGGCTACCCGACCGCCCCTTCAGTCTCAGTGACTTGGTTGAAGCATGCCATCGTATCCCAATTGCGTAGATAGATGCTAATGAAGCCTGTCACTAGTTTGTCTGGACGTGATTCGATTATTTACAGACCGTTGTCATATAGCTGAAATAGTGCGGCGTAAAACGACGAACGAACAAACAAACGTATTTTAATCTACTAGTATATGATTTTCCTAATTACCCTGTCTCATTGTACTAAATGCATTACCTAGGCCTCATTGAAAGTGAAGAAAACATCAAATGCCTTCACTCACCCTGTCTTCCACTCTTCAGAACTGACATCCTGTTCATGACGCCTCAGATCATTGTAGATGCCATAGCAGACAAAGCCATCGACTCCTTGTCGATATTCACATTGCTTGTGTTTGACGAATGTCACCACGTGCTGTCCAAACACCCTACCAGCAAGATCATGGCTATCTACATCGACCGGAAACTGGAAGGAGTGACACGTCTGCCTCAGGTATGTGACACCTGAAACGGTAAAGCCCGTTGACATTAAGTATTCTAGAAAGACATCACAATCTTCAGAGTTTCTCGGGTTTACTTTGAGCCAGTTCAACATCACCAGCATCTCGATTTCATTTATGAACAAGATTTCAAACACTTGTGTGATGTGGGGGGAGGTAGTGGTTGTGAGTGTGTTGTTTGCGTGCGTGCGTGCCTGCGTGCGTGCGTGTTGGGAGTGGGGTTGTGTGTCTTGTCATCTCCAACTGTAAATCTTCTTTGACATTAAGTATCCTGGAAAGACGCCTATCTTCACACACTTCTGTGATGTGCGATGTGTGTGTTTAGGGGTCGGTGTGTCTGTATGTGTGTTGTTGGGAGTGGTGTGTGAGTGTTGTTAGGGTGATGTGTAGGTATGAGTATTGGGGGTCGTGTGTGTATGTTTGTATTTTGGGGTAGTGTGTGTGTTTGTATTGAGGGTTGTGTGTTGGGGATAGGGTGTGTGTGTGTGTTGGGGATAGGATGTGTATGTCGGGGCTTGTGTGTTTGAGTGGTTGGGGTTGCGTTGGGATTGGAGTGTGCATGTGTATCTGTGTGTTCGGGTTTGGGATGGGTTGTGGATTGCATATGTTGGTGTTGTGTGTATGTTGAGGGTTGGGTATGCGTATTGAGGGTAGTGTGTGTGTTTGGGGTGGAGTGTTTATATGAGTGTGTGTCTGTGTGCGTTGGGGATTGCGTGTGTTGGTGTTGTGCGTATGTCCTGGTGGTTGCGTGTGTATTTAGGGTAGGGTGTGTTGAGGCTGGTGTGGGTGTTGAGGTAGTGGTTTTGTGTGTGTTTGCACTGTGTGTTGTGAGTGGTGTGTATGTGTGTATAATGGGGTGGGTGTTTGTGTTTTGTAGGTGTTTGGGGGTGGTGTGTGTGTGTGTGTTGGGAGTGGGGCTGTGTGTTTTAGGATGGTATGTGTGTGTGTTGGGTTTTGGGTGTAAGTTTGGTGTGCAGTGCATGTTGTGGCAGATATGTGTATCTGTTGGGCGTGGTGTGTGTGTGTGTGCGCGCGTGCGTGTGTGTGTGTGTGGCATGGATGTAGTGCGTGTGTTGGGTGTGTATGTAGTGAAGATAGGGTCGGGTCTCTAGCTTAGAAATAAATGTCAATATCCAATTTGTTTCCATGGCAACAACTACAGTTTCATCAAAACACTTGACAAGATCAAGCAAGGCATTCGAGTTGTATGTTCAGTTTAAATTGCCAGTGTCAGCTTTGATTTAAGACCCAGCATTGCCATGGCTTATGCGAGAAATAACTCCATTGGTAAACCTGAAGTTGGCACATCACAAGCATCGGTGTCAATGCAAGTCAATTTCAACAATGCCAAGAATACAATTTTCTGCCTTTGGGCACGATGTCGGCAACCTGACAACTACCACAGATCGTGGACACTCAGGGAGACCACACATCACCAAAGCAGCCAATAGTTCGAAACAGGACACACCCTAGCCTGCGACGAACACAGCAAAACAAATGATTGTTTGACGCCCCATAAATATATATCTGCACAATAACCGTTTACGACCTGCGGAATCCGTGCAAGAAGGCCCTTTGTGTGCATTATTTTTTCTCAAGGACATTGACTTCAGAGGCTGCAGTGGCTTCCCCAATGTTAGATAAAGTAACGAATCCTGTTTCCTTCTTCAAAAGAGAGAGTATGTATGTGTATCCGCTATGGGAGGAGCTTTAAACTGGATGTAGACAAGAAGGTCGTTTTTCAGTATGACAATGATCGTCCACACACACAAATGATTTCCTTTGAGCTCAGAACATACACGTAATACCGTGGCCGTCAACGTCACCCACAATGAGCATATGTGGAATGAGCTAGAACGACGTCAACGTTAAACAGGGCCACTGTATCTGCAGCGATAAGCAGGACTCTTCGGGAAGAATGTGATGACATTCTACAAGATGTGATCCGCAGGATTTTTGGTTCCATGGACAGGAGGTGCCCTGCAGTTATTCAGGCCAGTGGTGGGCACACGCGGTACTTGGCCTTATGACTGTCGTGCTTGAGATTGTGGCTTAACCGCTACGTGTAAAGACGTCTCCATTAACGTTTGGTGAATTATGTTTCACTGTGTAATCTGCCAAACACACATGTCCCATGCATCGCTTGTAAGCCTTGTTTAAGTCAGAGAATAATTTGTCAAATACCACAGATGCATTTATTTTAAGGGCAAGTATATTTCTATTCTATAATATTCACATATTGCCCCCACATCAACAAACCGAATCCGGGACTCGGGCATAACGCACGGAAGCTATAACCAAAAAAAGCGAAAAACAAAACAAACCCGAATTTTATATACATGTAGATCACTAAATCTATCAATAATTTTACTGTTGCTCTGATAACTAACGTTTTTTCCATATATGGAACAAAGTTTTATCTATTTATTATATTAATCTTTAGGATCAACAAACCAGTTCACAATATTTGAATACATTTATATCTCGATATTCTTTTGTCGAGCTAAACTTATCTTATGGACCCTAGGATTGCTATGCTAGTCCTAAAAGGCGACTTAATGGGATCGGATAGTCAGCCTCGGTGGCTTGATTGCGTGTCATCGTAGGTAGGACATTGCTCTGTTTCGATGCCAGATTCGATTATTTACAGACCGACGTGATTTCGCTGGAATGTATGGACTCCAAGAAGGGACATCGTCGCGTAGTTGTCGTCACATGTAGAACACACAACCAAAATGTAACAATCTCGAGGAAGTGTGAATATTGAAATTTGCGGCGTTAAACAACATTGACCAACTTTACAGGTGGTGGGACTGACAGCATCCGTCGGAGTAGGGAAGAAGAAAGAAGCCACCTTAAAGAGAGGGGCTACTACTCACATCAAAACCTTATGTTCTACCATGGATGCGACAGGAGGCTTGGTGACAGTCAGGAAGAACAAGGAGAATCTTGATGAACACACCTATTTCGTGGAGACAGGTAATTCGTACAAAACACTTATCCTGAACCACAGTAGTAATGATATGTCCTTTCTGCATTGTTAAAGGTTATATAAGCCGACTTCTTACTATTCATTCCTTATTTTATGATGTCACAAATTAATTATTAATATCACATGTTCGATTTTACACGATTTGTTTTCAAAATAGGGTAATAAATAGCAAAAAGGCACCTTTTCAAAGAACTGTGTCAGTATTATTGAACCAGGAAACCCAGGAAGTTGTGTCTCTCCCAACGGTATACAGAGCTTGGCCATCTGTAAAACGAGTATAGGTCTGGCCAGGGTACTTAGATGATGATACTTAACTCACCATGGTATATGCATGTTTAAAATTGGGCAACATTCATCCTTCTATTGTCCCCCCCAAAAATGAAATATCAATAGTGTTTTAGAAGGTTGTGCAAATGAATTACATTTAAGACTTAAAGGTGAACATAAAACATGTTTTACTCATTTATTTACATAATTAACCTGTATGTGAAATAGTAGTTATACAGAGAATTATTCATACATGTTTAGGGGGCACGGGTGGCCCAGTCGTCTAAGGCGCCGCGATTCGCTGCGCCGCGATTCGCTGTGCAGAGTTGCGTCCCTTGGGCACGCCAGAAACCTATGATTGTGGGTTCGAATCTCGGTTCGCCCCGATTATGTTTCTAGGTTTGTCAGCACAATACCCGTGCTCGTTGGTTTCACCGAAGTGGTAAACGTCTGAGACCAGGTAGATCAGTCCCGATTCTTGCAAACGTCTGGCCATGGCATGCCCTGTGAATGGATAACTTCTATAATTGAAGTGATGCCAAATGCCATGAACATATTACCAAAATTAGTATAATTTTTTGCCTAGAGTTTTGTGAAGAAGGCGACTCCCGTGATATGGAGATCTGAATTCTGGGTTTCTTTAGAAACATGTCATGGGGCGAACCAGCCTGGCATTTCTTTTAGAATTCTGAACTATTTATGTCTGTATTTCTGAAGTATAACATCCTTATAGCCCTGGGTTCCACTGTAACTTCGTGGTTGTTGACACTCGATGTTACATATGTAAAGCGTTACACCAGGAAACATGATTCAACCATTATATAAACAAACACTTACCTTTTCACGTTAGAAAGTGGAAGATATATGTTCCAAATCCACTCTAGTATTGCAAATGCCAGACGTTTCGACATGGTACGAGGTCTTGCACTGGCAAGACTATATGTTTACGGGGGGCACGGGGGGCCCAGTTGTCTAAGGCACCGCGATTCGCTGTGCAGAGTTGCGTCCCTTGGTCACGCCAGAAACCCATGAATGTGGGTTCGAATCTCGGTTCGCCCCGATTATGTTTCTAGGTTTGTCAGCACCATACCCGTGCTCGTGGGTTTCACCGAAGTGGTAAACGTCTGAGACCTGCATCACTTCGGGCTTTCCTCCCACATTTAGCTGACGCCGCGATATAACTGGAATACTGTTAAAAGCGGCGTTAAACCCAACTCACTCACTCACTCATACATGTTTATCCCATTATGTTTCTTGTAATTTAGCTATCAAGAAAACAAATGAACGATCATCCGACCCCTTTAAGCAATGCGTAGTTGGCATCATGATGAAGATTGAAGAAAGAATGTCAAGTCATGAGTGTAAGTAAAGTTTAATAAAACGCTCCATATTTATTGCTCAATAATGCAAAATGTACAAATCATTGTAACCTTATATATATCGTTGCCCCTTCTAGATGACGAGGCAGCAGTATATAACAATTAAGTATAGTTTCACTATGAACCACACTAATCAACTCTGATGGCTCCGTGGTTTAGTGGATAGAGCGTCTGCCCGGAGAACGGAAGGCCGTGGGTTCGATCCCCGGCCGCGTCATACAAAAATAGGTTAATTGATGGTACTTGTTGTTACACTGTCTGGCGCTCGGTATCAAGGGATTAACACAAGGATTGGTCGGCTAGAAGTCAGCATATGTGTCTGGGTGGGGTATACATGTTAAACTGCGGCATCTCATAAGTGCAACCACCTTGAATGTGACGTTAAACACATTTCACTTCACCTCTGTTTGAAAAGGGTTGTTTAAGACCTTGCTGCCTAATTGCACAACCAAATACGTGTTTTGGAACAGAAGACTCTATTGCCACTAAACAGGACACTGTATTGGAGTGTGACGCGCGGCACGTGGACACATGCACCGTAGTAGCTGTTGATTTTAGTGATTTGAAGTGATTGCAAAGGTCTGCAACTGCTTAAATATTAATCGTAGATGTGTTTGTCCCACAGGAATCATCATCGGATATAATAGAAGTGTCAAAGCTAAATTAGGAAAACCTTTCAACCCCTGCTGCTGTTTATGTCGATCGGATTGCGCATGTTTAAGGTTTTAGTCTAGAGGTTTATTATCCCCCTGGCATACAAAGCGGGGAGATATAGCGACCAGCCAGTCTGTCTGTCGGTCGGTCCGTCCGTCTGTCCGTCCGTAATCATTTCCTTTTCCGGGGCAGAACTCGAAAACAATTCAGTGTATTTGATCGAAACTTGGCAAATCTATCAGTCACATACTGAAGTGGTGCCTTTTGATATTAAGAATTTTAGAAATCTTTATTTTTTACGTTTCGATGGCAACAATTTGGACTTTGGTTCTGTAAGGGTGGTGTTCATTTCCGGAGCGTAACTCAAAAACCCAGGCACATACTGAACTGGTGCCTTTTGCTATTTAGGAATTTTAGAATTTTTTATTTTTTACGTTTCCATGGCAACAAGTTGGATTTAAGTTATAATATAGGGTGGGTCCACTTATGGAGTATAACAAATAAACTGTTAAATATTTCCTTGCCAAACATTGTATGTCTAGATATAAAGCACATACTGAACTGATGCCATTTGATATTAAGGAGTTTTAGAAATGTTTATTTTATAATTTCCATTGCAGCTATTTTGATATGGGCTGAGAGAAATGTTGGGTCAGTTACCTGGTTTGGTCCCATAACGTGTTAAAATGGGCGGGGTATATCGATAACTTCGTTGACTATACGCTTGTTTAGTTATTGTTTCTTGTAATTTGTCAGTTGTTTGCATAAAAAAAAACACAGAAACACACGTTTTACTTTCTATTTCATATGGATGCGACCATGGTGGATCTTTTGTGGGTAAACAATGTATGCTTCTTCAAGAACATTCAACTCTTGACTCATTACATACAGAACTGCACATTTACTTGTGGTTTCTTGACAGACAGCTGCCGGGGGATATGTCATCTTTCTGATGACTCTTGTTAGTCTCTAGCCATTAAAGGCAATAGAAGGCAATTAGGCAATTACTTCCATCACTGACAACCAGAAGGTCGGTACATCAGGGTTCTCCCGTCGGCTTTGAGCAGCTGGAACCTGCTCTCATCAGAAAATAGCACACATTACCAATTCCGAATTTGCCCAACTGTTTTGGTCTTCCATATCGTAGCCTGTCTGCAGTTCTACCAGTCACCCTGTAATGCTGCATCAGCTTGGTGATCGTCGTTTTCGAACAACGCATGAATCTTGCAGCTTGTGTTGTATACTCACCAGGGAAATGAGATCTACTTATTAAATATGTGTAGCAATACTGATCTGCTGTGCAGGTTGGAAGTCAGGCCCTAATAAATAACTTATATTACACACTGTATATCGGACAGACTTTAATGTCCCATCCTGAATGGCACGTGTTCCAATATGCCCTCTCAGCCTTTTTCTGTGTTTTGTTCCCAGCCGAGCTTGGAATTGAAACAGAGGATGAACCTCTTGGTGGCAAGTTCAAGCCATACGCAGTCAGAGGGACAATGCAGTATCACCAGTGGCTCTATAAGCTGTACTACACAGTTATTCCCAGCATAAGAAATATCGACTTCCGTCGCTCGTATATCACGTGTGTGCAGCATCTGGTCGTGAGTATATAATCACAATAAATAAGGTCAATATTAATTGACTTTAAAATCATATGTACATAACGACACACAAGACTAGGGCTTTCATGTTCATGAAGAATTTAACTTCATGAAATTCATGGATGGCCTAGTTGACAAATTTAGGTGCTGCGATTCGTACTGATAACTGCTGATTGTCCGTTCGTATAAAAGATATATGTTAACATTCAGTATTATACCTAGTTTGACAGCACCCGTGTAACATAACAAAACTCATAAATGTTCCAAGACCACATGCTTTATTCGTTATTAGTCAGTTGGTCAAGTGACACACGCGATATAGCATTATACCCTGTATGTCACATCTGTCTTTACTGAGTTGCTTCACATGGGTGAAATATCAAACACGTACAAAGTTATATACGTTTGCTAGACAGTATCGATGAGTGACATGTTGGTGTTGTTAGTGAAGGTTCTGGTTGATTTATTTCACTTCCAGGTCCCACTGGTCAAATAGTTCAGTATTGTTAAAGTTTAACTTACATCAACTGTAATTCTAACATATCCTTAGAACACTGTAATCTACAGATTGTTTGAGAACACAGCTAAAATTAGAGATAACAATCACTGATGGAGCCGGTGGTTGCTAGCACATGATTCACCGATGAAATTTATCACAGTCATAGTTGTTCAGTCTACCAGGCCTGCTATACGTGTGCATATTGTTGGCCCGTCTTGTTCAATATCAGGAGCCCCTTTGGCTCCTGCTCTGACGATGAACTGGTACTGGAGATGGCAATGTTGGATCAGATGGCATATTGAGCCGTACACTGACAGGGGAATTCAGTGCAAGGGGAGGTAATTCGCTAGAACATCGATCATAGGTGAGGTGAGGTGAAATTGGGTTTAACGTCGCGTCCAAGATTTTTGTACTTATATGGCTACGTGCATGTGCGGGTTTGTATGGCTGTATCCCGAAAATTGGACGAAATGGTGTGGGACCTTCCCATTTCTGAACTGACCATCCACTTCTGATTAAACTCAAAATGCACCTGAATCCCTTGTCTTCTTTTGAAGCGTTTTCAAACTGGTTGAGTTTCTCGGCACTCATAAGAAAGTTTGTTTTCAATGATTCAAGATTCAAGATTCAAGATTCTTTATTCAGTATTTTGGGCCATGTGGCCTAGAGTACAATTACAATAACAATAATTGCTGCGTCACGTGATGTCAGGAAAATAAATACATGTAGTCTTATTTCACATTAAATACACGATTTAAGTATAAGGCCAAAGCCTTTACAATGTTGATATTTTTGGAGTTGAGTAGATTACATAAACTGTGATTATCATGATGGACATTGGATAACCAAGGCAAATAGTGGTTTCTGACAGAAGAATATTTTGAACATATAAACAAAACATGAAATTCATCCTCTAATTGTCTCCCTGTACAGTGGGTACATAGATATAAACTCAAGTCTTCATTTGTATGTTTTGACTTTCGTAGCATGTTAATCTTAAAACCGTGTAGCGATATTCTGAATTTACAATATGCTCTCCTGAGTGATTTATTCGTGAGATTACTGATGTAAAATTCTGGCTGTAAAAGTGATTTCAAATTTGCATAATGTGACAGATATTTTGATGAAGAAATAGAGTCATGCCACTCTTGAGTATACATATCCCTCAGCCTTTGTTTTATTTTTAGCAAAAAGAGATTTTCATCGCAAATATGTTGAGAGATCCATACAAATGAAAAGCCTGAAGAAAACAAAATATATCTTACATCAGACACCCAGGTGTGTTTATCATTATCATCTAACTGTTTAAGTAGATTGTAACATTGTTTTGGATATCGACATTGATTCATACGTAGCAATCTCAACCAGTATTTAAGTACCCTTATTTTGCTAAACACGAACATATTTAATCGTCCAGTTTCACCAAGAATAGCTTTATTAGAGGCATATTTTCCGATACAAAGATAATTTTTAAAATAGGACGTATGTACTTTTTCTATACATTCATAATATTTTGCCCCCCAGATTTCAGCCCCATAAAGTAATATAGGAGCAATCTTACAATCAAACATTGTACAAGCTGTTTCGAATGTTATATAGCTATTTCTTTTGAAAACATGATAAATGGCTCTAGTGGCTTTAGAAGCCTGTGATGCTAGGCTTTTACAGGCCATTGACCAGATTAGCCTTGAGGAGAAAAATACTCCAAGATACTTGTAGTAAGTGACAAGTTTTACATTTATAGAACCATAGAACCATTTTTCATTTTTTCGTATAATGCCACCGTTTCGGAAAACAATTGTTTTTGTTTTATCAAGATTCACACTTAGGCCCCAGGTAATGCAAACTTTTCTTAAGATATCTAATTGTCTTTGTAGACCAATAACTGTATATGAGAACATAGTCACATCGTCGGCAAAAAGTAGTAGCATAATATCTTCAATACTTTCTGAAACAAACACACCATGAGAGCACGTTTTATAAATGTCAGTTACAAGCTCATTAATAAAGAAGATAAACAGAAGCGGGCTTAAGATACAGCCTTGTCTTACACCGGAGCTAGTTGTAAACAAATCTGTTCTGCCTTTGTCTGTTTTTACACAAGCCTTAACAGCAGAATACATACTAGCTAAGACATTTTACAACTTGCCATGGCAACCTTTTTGTAAGAGCATATATAATATTTTTTTCCTTTCCACAAAGTCAAAGGCTTTCTTGAAATCAATGAAAGCACAATAAAATCGCCCCCCTCGCTTTGATAAATATTTAGTACAAAGAGCCTGGAGTGTGAAAATGTTGTCTGTTACTGAATAGTTGGATCTGAATCCAGCTTGTGCTTCATGTATTAAATCGTTTATATCCATCCATGATCGTAGTCTTTTTTCAAGTATTGACGTGAATAATTTCCCAGTTGCATTTAGCAGGGATATTCCTCTATAATTGTTTGGGTCAGAGGTAACACCAGATTTATGTATAGGTATTATAAGTCCAATGTTCCATGCTTCAGGGAATATACCGGTATCTTATATCTTATTAAATAAAGGTCTCAAGTATTTAATAAGAATTGTTTCTGAAAGTTTAAAAAATTCTGGAGGGATTCCATCTTCACCAGGAGATTTCCCGAGTTTTAATCTTTTTAACGCTTCAGCTACTTCTTCATCAGTAATAATATCTGATAACAACTCATCTGTAAGGGGTAAGCTATCACAATTATCACAAGAGTGACTGTCAATGAATTCATTTACAAGTACATTAAAATCTTCATTCACTTCTGTTTTGTTAGAGTTTAACCAATCTTTAAAATATAACTGAAGAGCATCAGGAGATATTGCACATTTAGAGTGTTTGCTACATAAAACCCGTTTAAGGGTGTTCCAAAATGTTTTACAATTACCATGTTTTGCAGCATCTTTCAAATCTTCAACTATTTTACCATCAAATTGTTTCTTTTTCTGACCACAGCATATTTTGAATTTTCTTTTGGCTGCAACATATTTTTGCAAATTTTCATTACATTTGAACTGCTTAAATAAATTAAGATACCTATATTTTTCCTTTTTCAGTTGAGTACATTCATGGTCAAACCAAATTGGTTGATTTCTGGATTTATTGTTGAATAGTGTACAAAAACCTCCAGAAGAACAAGCAATGTGGATCAGTATATCTCCCAAAGTCTTGACTGCAGTATTTACATCTGTTTGTAAAGCTGTGTAAAATTCTTTAAATATATCAGTAGACTGTAGTAATTGTTTATATTTCAGAGCATGTTGATCGGTTAATTCATATCTAGGAATGGGTGATACTGTTGTTATATGGTCAGTATTAGTAATCACATTATCAAACATGTGAGATATAGTACAGATCAGAGGCATGTGGTCTGATTCTGTTCTTGAACACACTTTGAGATCTACTAGTTTGGGGAATATGTCTGTTGACACAAGGAAATAGTCTACAACACTTGTGCCTAGATGCGAGACAAACGTGAAATTGCTTGGAATGTCAGACTTCATTCTACCATTAACAATATGAATACCAAATAACTTGCATAATTCAAGTAGACAGATTCCATAAGCATTTACATCTTTATCACAAACATCCCTTGAAAGGTTAAATGAGTCGCTAGTATAATCTTCAGGAAGAGGGAGGTAATTTATACTGTCATCTCGAATAAAATCCTCTCCATGTCCTACTCTCGCATTGAAGTCCCCACATAATATGTATTTACACTCATCACCATAATCATAATTTATATGTAATAATTGTTTCTCGATTATATCAATGCCATTATCATCTGAGTCAGTATACAATTGTGACTTATTTGGATGAACATACACAAAACCAAGTATAAGTGGGGAATTTCTCTCAGAATCAAGCATATTAAAGAAAACACAATTTGTCCAGTATGTGTATATCCTACTAAATTGGGAAGTGATGTTATGACTTATGTATACAGCTATACCTCCTGAGTAACGCCCATACCTCGATAATCTTGATGGGGGACTTACAAAACAATCATGAGAATCAAATAATGAGTATAGCTTATTTTCATCAACACACCAAGTTTCAGTGAAGCAGAGCACATCAAATTGTGAACAAAATGAAATAAAATCAGGATACATCAACTTTGATAAAAGTCCATGGATATTCCAAGAACATATTGTGTACACTAAATTTATGAATTTACCATCGTTAACATTGTAAGAGTCATTTTGTGCTTTTCTGTAATTGGGACCACTGCCAATATCCTATGTTGTATTGTTGATTGTACTGTCCATTCTGTTAGGTGACCTTGGTCGCCAGTTTGTTTTCAATGAGTGAATCATAAGTCCTGATTCTGCGCCGTCAGTAAGACACTTTGGGAGCTTTGCCCTTGACAGAGTGTCTGCAGCAAACATGTACTTTCCTGGTACGTAAGCCACATCGAGTTGATATTTCTGCAACCTTATAATCATTCATTGCAGCCTCAGTGATGCTTTGCACAGGTCCTTTCGTAAAAAAGTTTCGAGTGGTTTATGCTCGCTCTCAACTTTAACAATTTTGTTATAAATGTACTGGTTAAACTTTTCACAAGCGCACACAATAGCCAAAAGCTCTTTTTCACTTTGTGCATAATTTCTTACCGCTTTTGTGAGAGCTCTTGATGAATACGCTGATGCATGACTCCCAAGCCATTTTGTGAAGCATCAGCTTGTACGTACTCTCTTCGTCAAAGAACTTGAGAACTGGGTTGTTGGTCAGAACCGATTTCAGTTTAGGTAGGATTTCTTTTTTGAGAATGTCTGACATGTTTGGGATATATACTGAGATAAGAAACTGATAGTTCCCAGTTGTCTCCGGTTTCAAGTCATTTTCTGTGATAATGTTCCCAAGGTAATTAACTTCTTTGACCTTCAGTTGAACGTTGTATCGTTATCCCCGCCACGAAGTGTGGCGGAGGATAGAGGAGTTCGTCCATCCGTCCGCTTCTCAATGGAGACAAATTTGTCTCAAAAACTATTTAAGTAAGAAAAATGAAATTTTAGACAATGATACACACTGATTTGTTACTGGTCCCGATTTCAAATGAGTTAAAATTGGTGTCTTAGATTAATCTTTGACACAGAAGTGGCCCTTGTTCCATGTTTTTCAACATAGTGCATACTGCAAGAAATGGGGGCGCGTTTTCCCAGAACCTACTGTGGTGGTGTATTTGAATGAAACTTTGCAAGCTTATCTAAGAGATACTTATCAAAACTAAATTGGTGCATTAAAAAAAATTCCAGAGAAGAGTCGTTTTGTGTGTATTAATTTCACATTTAATATATATTTCTGATGACGTAAAGTGACCCTACTGCTTATCTCTTCTTAAGGCTTTCGAGGACTCTTTTTTGTAGTTCTTCATTCTTCTTTTGAAAAATTACACCTGCCTAAATGATCCTCCATGGCAATCGCTTAAAGCGGAAGAGCCAAAATGGAGCGTTACAAATACACATTGTGAAAACTTGCCGGTTGCTGTCCTCCTCATCCAGTGTCACGTTCTCTTGATCGCGTAGTCACTGAAGTGATAATTTGCCATCCGGTTTCTCAGTGTTATTTCCATAATATGTTAAAATCACAATTGTTGGTCTGATGAGTTGTTTACTGTGCAGCACATAAAATACTGACGCAGTAGTACCTTTGCTTCAGCTCCCGTGTCAAGTGTTAACTTGATATCTTTGTCTTGAACACTTATGCCATGATGTCTCACAAATGTAAACTCAAACAGATCAAATAAACATTTCTGCAACATGATTTGAATATATTTGTTTATATTTTGATATGAATTATTAAGCAAGTGTTTGCACTATGACACTTGGATTGTTTTTGATGTGCCACTTTGGGCGTGCCTGACTCGAAAAACAGAGGAGTATATTATGTCCTCTATACCCAGATTTAGTACACATAGGGCCATGAGCTGGGCTCTGTCTGAACAGATGCTTGGTTCCACAACGCTTGCAATCGGAGCTTTCATATCCGCTCGTTAGTTTCCAGCGACAGGTTTTACGACGTCGTCCTCTCTGGTGTGCATGAAGAGTTGCTTCCCTTTGATCATTTTGAATCTACGTGATCTGAGCTGCCGTAGCTTCCCATAATAAACGTTCCTTTGACCTCTCATCTGACTAAACTTATCCTGTCTCGAATCATAAAATCTGATCGATCACATTATTCAATGTTTACCAGGTTTTTTTTAGTTCTGTGTTTAGTTCTGGGTTTTGCTTGCACAAGCCATAATCGATAGCGCTTCATAAGTGTTTTTGGGGGGGTTGCAATACTGTTCGAAATTCGTAATGAAAGGCCCTAGCTTACCTAATCCCCTAGGGTGTCGAACTTGATGATGTCATAAACGTCGATGGATTCGTCACCGCTACAATGAAGCAACATGGCGACATTCGTCGGCTCGTCTATGCGTCCGAGGTTTCTGTATCCAGAATCTCCATGAAATTTCATTCGAAGGAAAGAGGGTCTGGTATTTTGAACCGATACATAATGCCTTGAAAAATATCGGCTTATCTCATACACTTCATCTTTGACAAAAGTCATGGATGTTCCAAGACCGGACGCTTTATTTGTGTTCCTTACTGATTGGTAAATTGATCATGTGACACACACGCGACATTGCATGTTGCTATATATTTCACAACCCTGCCCATGTTCTTAGCTTTCGTGGTACACGAATAGTACTGCGTCTTACTTGACTGCGTATACAAAATATACGACTGATGAGTTTTAAAGATGCACAATTACCAATAGTTCCTGTCTTTTGGCACGTATCCTAACTTGCCTCGGTTTCTGAAGATGTTGTTATTGGCTAATAAATATATGTATTGTTGCCATTCTCAGATCTATAACAATGCGTTATTCATCAACGAACATTGCCGAGCCCTCGATGGAATGCTTGTCATTGAGAAGGCCTTTCGTGACCCTCTACCAAATGTCGGATGCAACACAGAGATTTGGCTTAACAGACTTTATACTGGTACGGATATAAGAGTTTTAAGAGTTTTCATTTGCCCGTTGATATTTACCGATTTCCTATGAGGTAGAAGCAGTCGTAATTGTAATTTTTATATTACAAGATACAGTGGCAAGAACTTGCAAACAAACTGACCTGTATCACAATACCTTTTGCTGCAATATCACGTGCGAAATAAATAATGCAAAATAGTAACATAATCCTTCATGGGTTTGTGTACACTGCGATCCCGCATCACCCGACCACTTGGTGGTGTAGCGATGAGGCGTAGCTTTTCATATAATTCTCACCTGTCTTGCCTTTGACGCCTGAAGGAATTGGTTTTGTCAGATAATCGAGATTGGCTATTCTCTGACGTTGACGTTCCATGTTATATTTGGTCAGCTGATTAAATGAGACCGTTTTTACTCACTGAAGTGAAATTAAAGCGGCTTACCGGATCGGGTGGTCAGGCTCGCGGACGTGGTTGATGCATGTCATCGCTTCCCAATTGCACGGATCGATGCTTATGATGTCAATCACTGGATTGTCTGATCCAGACTCGATTATTTCCAGACCGCCGTCAGATAGCAGGAATATTGCTGCGTGCGGCGTTAAACAAACGAACAAGCAAAATTGTGTGCGAACCTTACAGTTGCTATAACTGCAAGCATATGGCCCTTGTTGCATGAGATGTAACCATCATGTAATCTGAACGCTAATGTTCCTGAGCATTTTCCTGAGCATTTGCTGCTTTCCTTCTGGCTTCGACCAGGTAGCGGCTTGATTCGTTGGATAAAAATAGCGACGACACTGACCAGTGGTCATGTAAATTCGCGGATGATGGAGGGAAAGTGGTGTATGCACAAACTGGAAATATTGGCGACATTCTGGGTTGCATTTTTATAATTGCAGAAAATTGGCAGAAGCTTGAAGCAGAATCGAGAACCCATGTCATCCTGAACCCACGACTCATCTTACTGAAGTTGGAAGTGTTGAATCAAGTCTGTAAAAAACCCACTTCCAGGATTTTGATTCTTGTGAAATTGCGTACTCTCGCTAGAGCCCTCTGTCGAGTGTTGACTGAGATGGCGGAGACCAAACACCTGAACCCAGTGATTGTGACCGGGTGTGGAGCACCGGGTGATAAAGGAGGTTGGTGAGAAAGAGTGAGGTACTACTTAATGGGATGGGTCGGCAAGTGAATTAGATACAGGAGCACTAATAAGTCATTAGGTTTCATATATCTCCAATTCTTAATAACCTTGCAATCATTCTTTGAAAAGGACATTACAATTTCTTTGAAACATTTATCCTTACGCTTCCTTCTTCCAACATACTTTCAATCACATCACAGCGTGTCATCATGAGGATAGATGCAAGCCTAATTTATAGAGAATACAAAAATTGTTCTGTCTGTTCAGAATTAAATACTAAATATTAAACATGTGTTCCGGGTGACGGGGTAGAGGATGGAGGCTATTGGATTTGTCCCTGCGCCACATGCTCAATACATATATATATCCTGTTATTTCTTTGTTGTTTATTGTTTAACAGCGCATTCAGCAATATTTCATTTTCTTAAAGAAAATTAATATTCTGTACCCGAAACTGCTGTGAAAACGTGATGGAGACCTAGGTCTCCATGCTTCATTAGCTGTTCACTGCTTGATGTTCTGAAAAATACTATGTGCACCTCCTTTTGGCCAAAATAATCGTACATCCCATCGTTTTTCGATTCCCCCTTATATTATTAAACAGTTAAGCAATTGTAAGAATTGCAATTGTTTCAGGTATGACCCGGCCTCGGCAGATTGAAGCTGTTAAAAGTTTCAAGTGGGGCCCGAGTCGTGTGGCAGTTGCGACTTCTGTGGCAGAGGAGGGGATAGATATCACCACGTGCAGCTTGGTCATCAGATATGAGTATGTGTCCAATGAGATAGGCATGATCCAAGCAAGAGGTAAGATGTGATCTTGATATGTGTAATATATGTAGTTTATATAAATATGGATACTTCTGGCAACAATATCTTCATTATTAAACCAGTAGCTCAGTCTGCATAGGTGCCGCAATTCACTATGCTGCGTTTGTAATGACAATGGGTTCGAATCCAAGCTTCCCCCAAATTAGGTATCTAGGTTTGTCAGCACCACACCCTTGCTTGGGGTTTCACCAAAATGGTAAACGTCTTAGACCATCATCACGTCAAGCTGACACGCCATGATATAACTGAAATTATGTTCAAAGTGGCACTCACTTCTCGTCTCACTATTATATCAGTATCTAAGACAGGTGTTAAATCCAACTTATTCATTTATTATATCGCTTCGACTGCTGTCTGCGACACATTTGTAGGTACCGTATTACAACTTCTGTGTTGTCAAGGTCGAGCATCGCGAGTCGAGGACGGCACCTATTGTCTCATTACCGGGAACTCTACATTGGCGACTAGGGAAGAAACCAACGCCCAGTTAGAGATCGTCATGAACGAAGCTGTTGATGCATTACAGAACGAGTTCGACCAAGATCCCATCACTTTCCGACAGTCGATTGAGGAGATTCAAAGGAAGCAAAAACTGGAAAGAGAGCAAAATGAACAAAGTTCCAAAAAGCGTCCGAAAAACCTTGCGACATTTCGACTACATTGCTACAAATGCACTGTATACATATGTGAATCTTCTGATATTAGAGTTGTCAACTCGGCACATCACATGGTGATGGCCCCCAGCATTGGCAAGTTAATTACAGTGAAAGACAATAAGAAACCTGTTGAGTTTGATGGCTTGAAGAAGTACTGCAAAATCCACTGCAAAAAGTGTGACCTCGACTGGGGTGTTGGCATGGTGTACAAGGATGTCAAGTTGGTTGTGTTATCAATGAAAGGCGTTATGGCTTACGACAGACGTGGTAACCAACATCATCGCAAATCTTGGAAGGATGCGCCGTTTGACTGTTCAGCAATGACGGAAAGGGATATGTTGAATTATACGGAATCCTTTTGAGTGATACCATATTTGCAGAAATTATGCTATGCTTTGGGAATTGCAAATAAGAACAGTACACACCCGTGAAAAAGGCAGGGCTCAAGACGAAAACGGCAGGGCGCACATAAACTTTAAGCTTCCAATTAATAGGCATTTCTGAATCTTAAACTTACATAAAATAGGGATTGTAGATGGAGTTGTAAAATATTGTTGATGTGTAATTAGATAACGTATAATCTGTTGTCTGATATATATTTTGTCTTGTACATGTTTTCAAATGATTCTTTCTGCATTAATTCTACGTTTTGGTACAATTTAGAAAGGCTTGTGAAAGGACTTCAGTATTAAAGCTGTCCTTTGCGTTTTGGCGACCAATCAAAAGAAGCGTCCCACAATTATCACTACTTTCAGTTAGGGGAACACCTCGAAATGTACGAGTGATAACGATTTGACATCGCGTTTAGCCAATGGGCTTCACAGATCGCACCCATGTGAGAAATCGTACCAATGTTTTCGAGTTGACGAGCTGATGCTTTAACCTCCGGGCTACCCAACCGCCCGCACGAAAGTGGATATGATCAAAAATGGCTGCATAAAATAGTGAATAGTTACCAGAATACCGAGTAATATTGGCAGTGGAAATTGCATTGTGATATTGTTATACACAGTGACTGTAGATGGCAATTAGCAATTTTAGATATTGCAAACCTGATGGACAGTTCGATAAACTGAAAAGTATGTTCAATTATTTATTTACGTACTTGTAAATGTAATGTTGTGACAATGACATGTTGTGTTGTTACTGATTTGCCACGATACATACTGGTTACATAATACACACGGGCTGCAATATGTTAAGTGAGCGTAGCCACACATTGTTGCCAGTAAACAGGATAGAAATCATGATACACCACATTTTTTAGCGACAACACACACGAATTTATCGTGTCATTTTGTCTGGGGATATCCACTTTGCTTGCCTCGAAGAAACTGTGGTACACATGAACATTTTCAATACCTCTTATGTATGAGAGTGCTATTGACCAATCTAGGAACAATATATAAGTTTGTTTCAATGCGATTTTAGGCATTTTCTGTAATCAGACTGGTAACCGACTAAATAAATTGATTCAGCCAATTGCGTCATACTCATTCTCTTATCTAACACCAAAGAATTGAAATAAACATATACAATGTGGAAGCCCATTTCTGGTGTCCCCCGCCGTGATATTGCTGGAATATTGCTAAAAGCGGCGTAAAACCATATTCACTCACTCACTGAAATAAACATACCTGGTACTGCTTACTGAGCGCTGTGATAATGTACCGTTATGATGGCAGGTTACTATATTTCATGGCTGCATTTCATCCTATTTCAAGACAACTAAGAATTTGTCACCACGACACTCAACGAGAACGATTTATGATCATTTTTAGGAATTCCGGTACGGAACGGAACATTAACCAATAAATGAAATTATAGAATGTTGACACTTTTCTCATTTAATTCTGTAAAATATCAAAAAAGGGCCGTTTCAGTTTCAACATCGCAAGCATAGTAACATATTTGAGGATCTATGGGGTCAGGGATTGATCCAGTGAAATTCTGGTGGTGCCATCTTGAGAATGGAATACAGCGTCCAGGATTGATACAGTGAAACCCTGGTAGTACATCAGGTCATCTTGGGAATGGAATATAGCGTCCAGGATTGATACAGTGAAACCCTGGTAGTACATCAGGTCATCTTGGGAATGGAATACAGCGTCCAGGATTGATACAGTGAAACCCTGGTAGTACATCAGGTCATCTTGGGAATGGAATACCGCGTCCAGGATTGATTCAGTGACACCCTGGTAGTAAATCAGGTCATCTTGGGAATGGAATACAGCGTCCAGGATTGATTCAGTGAAACCCTGGTAGTACATCAGGTGATCTTGAGATAGGAATACAGCGTCCAGGATTGATACAGTGAAACCCTGGTAGTACATCAGGTCATCTTGAGATATGAATACAGCGTCCAGGATTGATACAGTCCCTGTTCTTCTTTTTTGATATGTAAATCAGTGATAGACATGACCATGGACTATATCCTATCAGTTGTAAAATCCGTCAAGATACAAGATAAATGTTCTATATCGGAATACGTAATCGTTCAACGTCCATCATTGCTTAACAACGTGACAGAGACGAATGTGCTCCATCGAGCATTCAAGCTCCGAGGAATATTTTTTTCAAAGATAAAAGCCACAACGCCGTTACGTTGAAAAACGAAAGATTACATGTTCCGTATTTTTTTCGTGCTCCCTGTACTCCTTGGTTAAATCTGTGAAACATCTGGCACACAAACACTCGCAAATTTAGCAAAACATCAGAAGGGCAAATATTCATGGAACGAGGTTTTAAAACAGTTCAGAATTCCAATAGCCTCAAATGAGTTGCTTCCCTTTGATAGTCAGCACTTTGATATTCACAGGAAAAAGTAATGATTCGACACAAAAGGAAGATAGAAATGCATTAAAGAAAAGAAGACCTAGAAATCGGCCAACAAAATGGAGCAAGATTTGCGAAACATTAAGTTTTCGCTATTATTCTGCTAAGATACTTTATTATCTCAGTATTTGTCCGTAATGAATAATTACACGAAGGGTTTATTGAAGAATAATATAGAGACCCTGTAGCCGAGGCAATTTGAGCCATTTGTGAATCTTATTGTTAGCAACCTTACATAGCATCACAAGAAGTGTACAGCGAATTATGTCGCCTCAGACCACTGGACCACCCATGCCACCTATCGCAATTACGACATATCATGACCATGCCATTATGCTCGTTTGTCGACATTTGTGCTTGACGAATAATTCTTCACAAATGGTGCTTTGGAGCTATCTGTAATTTATATTTTTACCTCTCTGGTTCAAGGAAATGTGTATCAAGAGCAGTACAATTTCTGGTTTTAGCAGAGATTTCGTATGATTATGGAAAGATTGTCACTTAAATGTATACACAGCGTCATTATTAGAAGGGATTATTTAGGTATGTAGGGTGTCTAACATGAACATATATCAAAAAGCGTCAATAGGCCTGAGCATGTTGACTAATTAACTGTTGAAGAACATGTTTACTCCCAAGGCGTAAGTTACTGATATGACATTGTCTCCGTTTCATACAAAGCAGTTATTACGTCTAGATCTATAGTTGAAGTGACCTCACACGAGACTGGAGAGGTTAGTTCCCTTTATTCTGACACTCGGGGGATGACAAATACATGTTGTATTTTTCCGTCAAACATTAATATACCTTAAATATTTCGCTGAGATATTGGTCTGTTCCTACGTGTATGTTGAACTGGATAAGGAACTGGAGATAACAATATCATAGTGTTGTTGTGTTCGGATGTTATCGTAAGTACTGTTTATAATGAATATAGAAAAAAATTATTTGGATATTAATGTCCATAAACGTAGAAAATATCTGCTGAAAGCACTACCTGCCTGTATACATGTATATACCCCGAATGTTCCTGCAATGTGCAACCGACTGCTTCAGAAGGCACCACAATAAGCATTGTAGAGAGAAGGGCAAACACCACAGTGAGTTATTGCTAGGATGATTGGCAAACGAAGAATCGGTAGTGTAAACCATTGTCACTGGCTACGGAACTCTATAGTTACAGCCACTGTTACAGTGTAAGTATGTTAACACAGACATCTTGATTGCAGGACACAAATAACATATATTCATAATGATCTAATATCTCCATCTCAAGTATGTAAGAAACGCATGGTGTTATGTGCGGAAGATATCGTAATTATTGTTTGTAATGAATATTGTGAAACAAAGAAATTGGATATTAGTGTTGATTAAAGATGAAAATGAGAATATGAAGCAGTAAGATGAAAATACCAAGTGTTTATTAAACAGCTTAAGGGGCTGCAGTCAGACTGGCTTACCCAACTCAAGCAACACTTGCTTGTGTATCACAACACAATCGAATAGCTACATGGAATCCTTCAGCGTTTCGTTTGTTTGTTTGTTGTGTGTTGTTTAACGCCGCACTCAGTAATATTGCAGCCATATATAAATATGTAAATAATCACGTCTGGACCAGGCAATCTAGTGATTGGCATCATGAACATCGATCCACGCAATTCGGACACGATGACATGCATCAACCAATTCAGCGAGCGTGACCACCAGACCCCGTTAGTCGCCTCTTGTGATAAGCAAAGGATTGCATGGAGTATTCGGCGTTGTGTTTTCTTTTAAATGTTAGAAATATTGGACAGTTCACGAATTACAATACTCACAATATATGATTGTGTGTGTGTGTGCGTGTGTGTGTGTGTGTGTGTGTGTGTGCGTGTGTGTGTGCGTGCGTGCGTGCGTGCGTGTGTGTGTGTGTGTGTGTGCCAGTGTGCCAGACAGAGAGGAAATGTAAGGTAGGTTAAATGCCCGAACGTTTATATATCACGAAAATATTTTTCCTTGTGTAATGCATATGTAGTTCATAACTCATAATGCACAATTCATGCACGTACGATCATCACAGGATGTTTTGTACCATTTCGCCAGTTACAGACAGGAATCCACCCAGAGTGCTGTGATTCAAATTGAGTTATGCTTTTTACACACTCGTGGCGTCTGAAATAATTATAGCAAAATTCAAAACACTTGCGTCTACTAAAGTTGAAGTTCAAAGGATTACGTTTCATGAATTATAGCAAGAACCGACCTCTCTTGCAATCCCTGGTTCCCAACATTGACGTCACATACACACAGGAACCTCTGCTGTGACCGCAAGTTATTATTTCAATATTCCTCCCGCAACAAATATTTGTATATAATCCATTGTCCGTGTGCGGCCACCCAGTGTCTGCTGGGGAAGAACAGCTTGGATTTCATGCTTCTTCGTTAATTCCACAAATAGTGGCGGATGTGTTCAGGCGATATTTTGGATGGCACATATTGAAAGTTATGTTAATAATGTGTTATTTTACTTCTCTGCGACTTATTCGTAAGGATCCCGTTTAGATCGAGTGAAGTGTCACTTATACAAATGTTCATTTGGCAAAAATCAGTTTTTACGTCAGTGTAACTTTGCAGTTGTTTTACGCCATGAAGACCATCGTGGGCGTGCTGGCATGGTTGGAGAGTAGGATAACAAAAATGTTGGCAACAGGGGTGTCGGGGGTCAAGCTTTGGGTTGGAAATAGAAATACGGTATTCATCAATTTCGACACAAAGTGGTACACATCTTCTTAATACTAATTTTGAAAAATTCAGTTCCCTGTTCCCCTCAAGTAAACCCACGTCACACAGATACTTTTTGTACCTTCACAACGTATCTACTTACTACAGCTGTGTTGAAAGTAGCACAACCCTCAATTCCTAAAATCATGAACTATAAAACACCTATTATATCAACCTGTGTAAAACATTTTAGTTCTGATTTCTTAATCTACGAACGGTTATAACCTCAGTTTATTCCCCAGCCGCCTGACATTGCACGTTGATAATTCAACTCGTTTGTAACTAGAGTTCACGCCCCTTTTAGTGATGAACAGTTAGACATTGGTAGGCTTTACACATTATGCCAATATGGTTAATCGAACCATGGTTTTCGTTGTGAGAAGCCAACACTTTAACCACTAGGCTATCCCAACTACTGAATACTCATATGGTATAAACTCAGATTATTGATCTATCAAAGCCCGATAATTGGCCGACCATTCGGTAATACCGAGGGGTGGTGGTCTGATAATCTGTTCCCGAATATGAAGGAAAAAGTATCCTTCCTCAGGATTTACCAAACAAATACATTCTTCTCGTGACGTTCTGCTTTTTAGAATAAGTAATGTCTTTGAGCTGATTAAACGTTATGTACATGTCTCAAACACAAATCCCAGCTCCCACCACTCCCAGAATATTAAAAGGCCATCCTCTAAGCTGTAGCAATAGAAAACGTGCAAACACATTTTTGGGGTAGACACTGCTTGTTATTCGCCTTCTACTATACCATACTCCAGATTATGACAGACGCCACTATGATGCCGCCGTGACACGTCTGTTTACATACTCGTCCATACAATGGTTCCTAACGAAAACAACCTGTTGTCAGTTATACTCACCATAGCAACCTCTCATTAGCATCTGTACTTGTCACATGACCCCATACAGGGGTTAGCGCGGTAATGCGAGATTAAACGAGACCCCAAAAAACCTGCTGTTGAGTTGAGTAATTGAAACAATATTTACGTACAGCCTGACAGTTTTTTAAACATTCTTCTATTTTTGCGTTTTTGCTTGCTTTTGTTTCTGTAAGGACTTGTGGTAGCAATACCGAATGCACATACGGTCACGACGCCACTTCATGTTCGATTATGTTCACTATTGTGCACAGTGTGATTGTTTACAAGTTCAGAAGGACCAACGAATTTACAGTCGGTGAATCATTAACATACACGTACAATGCAACTAGTAATTGTGCC